AGAGGGAGGTGAAGCCTCCATCAATCAAGATGCAATAACCCACCCCATTTTGTATTTAGCTGGTTAGTGGTCATGGAGGAGGAGGGAGGGAATGGACTGTCATTTACCACTATGTAAACACCCACATGTCTATAGTCACATGGTCTGCTCAGATGTGATATGGAGGAGATGCTCAGCATAAAAATTCACTGAAAACAGAGCATGTGCAGTAGCTGCCAACACTGTTCTGCAGAATCTCAAACTGCGTTGGGGACATGAACAGAAAGGGGAGATAGAGAACAGCAGGATCAATCATGTTTCTTGCAAGATACAGAAAACGAATCCCATAGTGACTGAGTATGAACGGCAAGTAATATGACATTTATTGATAGTTTTTTATTTATGTAGGTTTAGTGAGTTTAATAGGACATTTACTGTTGATAGATATCTCTTCAGGAACCTAAACACTTTATCAACAAAGGACAGGTATGGAATCTAACATATATATATATATATATATATATATATATATATATATATATATATATATATATATATATATATATATATTTTTATTTTTAAATGCCCCCAGAGAGTGGAGCTTTAGGCTTTTTTCACATTTCCTCCTTTCAAAAAAGGCCAGTTGTTTACAGAGCTCAATCGCTCAAGTGAATGAGTCAAAGGCAAATCTCTGCGTCACTGTTCTTTTAGTATGGCACCATATGAAAGTGGATAAATAATGCTGCTATGCTATGGGAATCCTGTGCCCTGGGTGAAATATTTGGAGTAGGCCTCAGCTCGATTTCAATATCTAGATCAAGCTTAATTGTTTTAAGAACTGCCTGTATTGCTCACAACCACCAATAAATGAAGCAAAGAGGATGGTCCTGTTTGATTGTTGTATCAGCGGAGTAATTATATTAACCATGACCTGGATCATTATGACCTTCACAGTCCCATGTCAGTAAGTAATTAAACAGATGCAATTTTAAAGGCTTGTACAGGATTCATTTAGTATCTTAAAAGTCAATCAATCAGAGTAAATGCTCAAACCACTGATATACTTTTCTACCTGTCTACATTGAGAACATGAAGATCCCTTTTTAAAGCTTGCAGTAAGATATTATCAAAGCACTTGGAGCATGACACAATTTAATGAGGTGGATGAGAACACCCAAGTGTACATACTGAGCAGGTTCACCTCCTCTGCCAGCAGAGGTAACTCAGACTAACATCTAGAAAATTGGGACAACAAATAACATATAAAATAAACAAAATGTATACAAGTAGCTGTGTCTGACACCACATACAACTCGGTTTTTCAATTTTTTTCAATAGTGAACACCAGAATAATGCTGGCAATATGTAGGAGTCTTGGCAGAAGCACAACTTTTTTCCCCTGATTTTTCCTGTTACCTTTTGCGGATATAATTACTTGGACATTCTAGATATTTCTATAGAATTAAAGATTCAAATACTTGTACCATATACAGTGCCTTTAAAATTATTCATACCCCTTGAAATTTTCCACATTTTGTCATGGTACAACCAAAAACATAAATGTATTTTATTTTATTTTTTTTTGGTAAGACAACACAAAGTGGCACAGAATTGTGAAGTGGAAGGAAAATGATAAATGGTTTTCAAACTTTTTTACAAATAAAATATCTGAAAAGTATGGCGTGCATTTGTATTCAGCCCCCTTTACTCTGATACCCCTAACTAAAATCTGGTAGAACCTAAATAGTAAATAGAGTCCACCTGTGTGTAATTTCATCTCAGTATAAATACAGCTGTTCTGTGAAGCCCTCAGAGATTTGTTAGAGAACACTAGTGAACAAACAGCATCATGAAGGCCAGATAAGTCAGGGACAAAGTTGTGGAGAAGTTTAAAGCAGGGTTAGGTCATAAAAAACAATCCCAAGCTTTGAACATCTCACAGAGCACTGTTCAATCCTTCATCCAAAAATGGAAAGAGTATGGCACAACTGCAAACCTACCAAGACATGGCCATCCACCTAAACTGACAGGCCGGGCAAGGAGAGCATTAATCAGAGATGCAGCCAAGAGGCCCATGGTAACTCTGGATGAGCTGCAGAGATCCACAGCTCAGGTGGGAGAATCTGTCCACAGGACAACTATTAGTCGTGCACTCCACAAATCTGGCCTTTAGGGAAGAGTGGCAAGAAGAAAGCCATTCTTGAAAGAAAGCCAGAAGAAATCCCATTTGCAGTTTGTGAGAAGCCATGTGGGGGACACAGCAAACATGTGGAAGAAGGTGCTCTGGGCAGATGAGACCAAAACTGAACTTTTTGGCCTAAAACTAAAACGCTATGTGTGGCAGAAAACTAACACTGCACATCACCCTGAAGACACCCCCGTGAAACATGGTGGTGGCAGCATCATGTTCTGGGCATGCTTTTCTTCAGCAAGGACAGGAAAGCTGGTCAGAGTTGATGGGAAGATGGATGGAGCAAAATACAGGGCAATCTTAAAAGAAAACCTGTTAAGAGTCTGCAAAAGACTTGAGGCTGGGGAGGAGGTTCATCTTCCAGCAGGACAACAACCCTAAACATACAGCCAGAGCTACAATGCAATGGTTTAGATCGAAGCATATTCATGTGTTAGAATGGCCCAGTCAAAGTCCAGACCTAAATCCAATTGAGAATCTGTGGCAAGACTTGAAAATTGCTGTTCACAGACGCTCTCCATCCAATCTGACAGAGCTTGAGCTATTTTGCAAAGAACAATGAGCAAAATGTTCACTCTCTGGATGTGCAAAGCTGGTAGAGACATAACCAAAAAGACTTGCAGCTGTCATTGTAGTGAAAGGTGGTTCTACAAAGTATTGACTCAGGGGGGGCTGAATACAAGTGCACGCCACACTTTTCAGATATCAGATATTTATTTGTAAAAAAATTTGGAAAACCATTTATCATTTTCCTTCTACTTCACAATTATGTGTTACTTTGTGTTGGTCTATCACATCAAATCCCAATAAAATACATTTACGTTTTTGATTGTACCACGACAAAATGTGGAAAATTTCAAGGGGTATGAATACTTTTTCAAGGCACTGTATATGCCATAGCTGCATTGTGCACTAGGCACAACACAGTGAAAAATGGCATTCTGGGATCAGGACATTTCTGAAATGTGTATTGGTCAGAACATTCAACTATTACTTCTGTTAACTAGACAGGATTGTTCTGTGCACTCCTGTTCCTGGTTTTACTTTATTACGAAAAGCTTAACTTTTCTAATTTTGAGCTTTTTATCTTAACATTTCACCTACTGATTGTGCCAATAACACTCCCCCCCCCCCCCCCCCGTCTTGCCATGGCTCCACTCTATGGAAGAGCAATGGAGACACCTTTGGACAGCAGCATTGTCAGTCTGTGGAGAGGGTAGTGTTAGGTCTAAGTCCCATGCAGGAGTCCCAGTGGAAGTTCCTGGCGATTAGCTGCAGGCAGAACCCCCATTGAAAGCAATGGGAGGCAGCTCCCACAAATATCTGTGAGCGCTCACATGTAAGTGCTTAAGCAGCAATTTACCTGCGAAAGATCAGCCCAGTTTGCATCCAGGACCACTCATTTGCAGGTAGTTGCTGCTTGAGCACTAGTATATTCTGGAGCCTACGATGCACTGGGAAATTTACGTGTACTTGACTATCATTAAAGTTGATCCTGACAGAACACTTTTTAGGCACCCTGTTGACATCACTTATGACGGAACATGTAGGGGTGAGCCGGACCACGCACAGCATTGCACATGCATGAACCGCTGCAGCCGTCTTTGATCCTGGCATAAGGAAGTTGTCTGTGTTTGGAAGGGCTTGTTTAACATTTACTAATTGTAAGTGCATACACCTACATAAAACCTTTTGTACATGCTGACTTTCGCTATGGATAGTCTCTCTTTTCACCTATACTGTTGACGCTCTGCATTTAAAGTCTTTGGCGAGTTGAACTCTATGCGTCAGCGTGTGGACACAGCTGCAAGCCAACATGCTGCCAGAGTGAGATGAATGCCTTGTGAAATATATTGAACGCTGTATGACCCCTCTTCACTAGGGGTCATTAGATTTCGGCAAGCCCCCCTCTAACTGCACTGGGGTGGCATGTGGTGTTGCTGTGCTAAGATCTGAAGGCTTTTGGGACTCACATAGGTCTTCTGCTATATGAAGATCACCATCTTTCCTTTGTCCCTCATTGGGACTCGTTTATTTACCAATTTTTCACTTATAGATGGTTTTATATGTAACCTTTAGTGCTGCTCTTTTGTATACCAAATTGGAGCACTGTGTATTGAAGTATAGTGCTCGCTGCTGCACATTATTCAGTTTTTGGGCTCTAGAGCATTTTGTTTCTTCTTTTTTAGATAAATTAATAAAAGCTGATTATTTTAAGTACCCCATATCAGTGTTAAATGGTTTGTCTCCACTGTCTAACTAACACTTTTGCTGGACAGCTTGGTCTTTTAAAGGAAGCTAATAAAAAAAAAAAACACTTACTGGCCAGTACACTAGGCAAAAATAAAGCCACTGCAAATGAATAAACTATATGATTTGATGTCATTAGTGTGTGGCCTTGTCTTCCATATTAGTTGTGGGATATCGAGTGGGACAAGCTCTTTGGGGTCAGCACCTAGCGCATCAAAGGATCAGAGGATTACATACACAAAGCTTGGTGTGGTGCTGTTCAGTTTGATCTACAGTGCTGGCAGCGTTCATATTTTATCAGGCAGATGCAGGTGTCTGGAATGGTGTGTACATTTCTACAGAATAAGCACACACTTATCACAAGATTAAAGACAACAGGGAGCAAGGCAGACTGGTGTAGTGCAGGAAAATCTGGATGAAAAGCTAACCTTCACTCTTTGTGAAAAAACAACCTTCTCAGGTTAAAATGCTTTCCATCTATGCAATTGTATGCATCTCATCTTTGATAGGTGTGTACCTATAATTCTGTGGCCTTTATAAACAGCACAGTAACAAACCAACCTTCAGAAGTATTTCCTACCTGTTGTCATCCACTTGCACAACGAAGCGCACGATATCATGGTGACCTTTTAACGCTGTAAGCTCAGTGTATGGATTCTGGATCTGTTCTTCTCCAATGTTCAACACTGTGGTCTTCTACAATTGAATACAAAGAATTAAAAAAAAATTAAAATGTTAATTTTCCCATGAATGTCAGGGAAGTCAATGGGAACACCTTTTCTGGTGAAAGCTGTGACATTTCCTTCAGTCATATTGGCCGCAACACTGTGGTGGATTGCGTTGCACTACACTGAACTGAAAAAAAAAAGTACTGAATGCCTAAAGTATTACTAAACCCACAACAGTAAAATCAATCTGTATATGCAGTAAAGCACGCTTGTTATACTCACTGTGGGACCTAAGGTGTTGGTCCTCTGCATTGTATAAAAAAGGATGTTTGATCCTGTCTTCTCTGATCCTCCCCTTCTTCTACTGTCCCCGACTCATCTCCTAATAGAACAGAGCCTTGGGGCATGATCACTTTGGGGTGCATTGCTAGAAAGTTTTTTTTTCTTGGGAGTGCCTGTGATCAGCACAGAGCCAATCAGCACTGTCCGGACAGAGGGTCAAGGGTCCTGCAGTCTCATAGGGCAATCAGGGGAGAATGAAAATGCCTCATACAAGCTTTAACCAGTGCTCTGCTGGACAATGATAGAAGTCCCAAGACTGTTCTAACTGCTGATGAGAAAAGGTATTTAGCAGTTTATATTTACTTAAATAACTGTATTTCCATGTTCTGTGTACTGTGAGAGACCAGATAGAGTGAATGCAGGGTCCGGGGTTTAGTAACACTTTCAATTTTTCCAGCACTCACCACCGCATCACATTGGCATGAGCTAAGGCTACTGTAAACAAAGCCAACTGCCTTATCTTGCACTGGGATGGCTGTGGGAAAGGTTGACCACAGCAGTCCTAATGCATCTTGTATGAAAGGGCCATATACACACAATAAAGTAAATCTGAACCAATCACAAAATCCCATGTAAGCACTAACATAGAGGCTGACTCTACATTCTATTTGCTAAAACACTGTAAGGGGAATTTACCAAAACTGGAGCAGCTGTGCACGGCAGCCAATCAGCTTCTATCAAGTTGAGCTTTAATTAAAAAAAAAAAAAATTGTGAACGGCCAGCTTTTTTTTACTGTAGAAGAGATATTCCCACTTTCTCACCTTCCCGCGCACACAGCTCCTGGTGGCTCTAGCCTCATAAACAAATGACTGATTCACATTGTATGGGCCACAGCAACCGTGCGAACGAGGCCTTAATCTGCAGGTTTTACCAGAATGACCCCTGGCATGAAGGTTATTCTTCAGGCTGCCTGTGTTATCCGGTGACCACACTTTTTTTCTACTCCCGCATGGTCACCCGTCCTCCCAATGGAGACTATGAGTGGTCATGCTGACAGACAAATGAAGGCTTAAAAGTGATTGTAAAGTTTCATTTTTTTTAAATCTAATTAAAATAACAAACATGTCATAATGATCTGGTCTGTAATGGTTCTGCACAAAGCAGTCCCAACCCTGCTTTTCTCGGGTCCCCCGCCAGTGTTCCTCGCTATACCCCCCCCCGCCAAGTTTCCCCAGAGCAAGCTGCTTTCTCTGGCAGCACGCTCATTCCCGAGTCCCACTCTGTGTGTCTATAAAGCCCCGTTCCTCATCACTGGCATCGATTGACAACTGGGGAACCAATAGCTCTTGCTACTGTACCTGAACCAATAAGAAGCAAGAGATGTTTGAGAGAGTCTTGGCTCTTGCGCATATTGCTGAATCGAGATCGGGCTCAGGTATGTAATTGGGGGGGGGGGGGTCTGCAAGGGGAACAGTTTTGTACCTTACTACATAGGTTGCAGTAAAAAAAAAAAAAAAAAAACCTTCTGCCTTACACACTGTAATTCAACATTTAATTAAGAAGCCTATCCAGAGTACTGATGGGTGGAAGAAGCTGGAGTAAGTGCATGTAGACAGGAAGTAGCTGAAAGAGGCCGGAGAAGATCAGCAGCACTGAGATACAAACAAGTTACAAAAAAGTAAAACAGATATTTTAGAAAAAAGCAAACATGGCATGTGCTTATTGATACCAGAAATTAGTTCAGATATCCTCCAAACTGCTCTCTAACTGAACTTTGAACCTGTGCTATTTTGTTTACTTCAATGAGATGCGTCATTCTTGTACTGCAGCTTATAAAAGGGTACGTTCACTTTTTTTCCCCTAAAATCCAGCTCCCCTGTACCTCCCATGTACCAATATACCATAAATGTACCTCGGTTGCAGAAAAATAAAAGCTTTCTTTTATTTTGAGAACAAGGCCTCACCATAGCCCTTGCTGTATTTCTTAGAAAGCGTCATCACTTGATGTAGATTTAGGACAGAGAAGGCAGTAAGACACAGGAAGGAGTTCACCAGCTGACCTTTATTAGCACACATCCTGCACTGACCTCAATAAAAACGATCACCCATCAACCATTTTTCACAGCATCACTGGCATCTCTCCACGCGTGCATTTGTTGGGCTTCTCCAGTGTCCCTTCAAACAGGCTTAGGCCACATGCTAAACTCCCTGGGGCCACATGGAGCCCACAGGACACCCCTGCTGTAGTGCGAGGGTCTGACTGAATGGATACAGAGTGATTGGATAGATGGTGTGTCCTCCTATTATATAGTTTTGGTAAATCTAAAAGAGATTGTACAATCAGATTGTATGGTGTATGGCCACCTTTATACACCTAAAATTAACTAGTTATGCTTTTCAGTTTCATTAGTTGTTAATGGCACACCAAACACAGAAGCAAAGACACATTTTGTCACACGAAAAAACAGGTGACAAAATGCAGCAAAACACACAGTAAAAACGTGCAGCTCGCACCACGCCAAATATCCCATGAGCTACTTTGGCACGTGTAGCACAGGCCATTGCAATCAACAGGCTGCCCTGTGTGTGTCACTGGAAAAACTAGCCAAAAAAAAAAAATGCACTCCCACTACTCTCCGCTCCTCCCCAACATATCTTTCTCTCTAACTCCTCCCTCATCACCTCCTCCCATGCTCGCTTCCAGAACTTCTCCAGAGCCTCTCCCATCCTCTGGAACTCCCTACCACAGTATGCCCAGTCAGCCCCACCCTGTCTGCCTTTAGGCGATCTTTAAAAACTCATTTATTCAGGGAAGCCTACCCCACCTCCACCTAAGAACTGTACTTGAATCACCTCCACCAGATCATCTCCCGCAGCTATCGCCTTTTGTATCACCTCCCCCTTCCTTTAGATTGTAAGCTCCACGTGCAGGGCCATCATATTCCTTCTGTACTGAAATGTATTGTAATTGTACTGTCTCCCTTATATTGTAAAACGCTGAGCAAACTGTTGGCGCTATATAAATCCTGTATAATAATAATACTCTACAGTAGGTGTGAATGGGGCCTGAAAGTGGAATTGGTTTGTTTACACAACGAGGCTCCATTCAAATTTGTGAATGGCAATGGGGTGGACAGAAGACAACTGAGTGTCTCTGTCCACTCCCTCCTATGTACTTGTATAAAGATGGCCATACACTATGTAATCTGATTGTACAATCTCTATACAATTTCCTTTAGATTTACCAGAACTACGGAACAGGAGGGAGGAGCCTGAGCATGGCGCTGACAAGGTACAAGATGTGAGAGCCTTTGAGCTCCTGAGAACTGCCAGTAGAAAAGTTATGTCTAGGAGTGGTTGGGATGCCTGACTTGCCTTGTATTTTCCTGTCCTAGGGGCGTCCCGCTCCTGTATCCTGTCCGCCCAAGGTGGTACATGAGCGGGGGATCGTGAGCCGAGTACCGGTCTCTGACCGGTGAGGAGGCGGGCTCCACCGGAGTGTGGAGCGGTGATTGCCGAGAGGAGTGCTGGGAATCACCGGCTAGAGATGAGAAGACAGGAGTGGGTATAAACCAGACCTGATGTGAGAAGGATCCTGTGGATCCCACGGAGGGTGATCCCCCTTACACAGACTGAGTTAGACCACCCTGGAATCACCTGAAGAGGAGGATTGAGAACCTTAGCAGTGCTCGGTATGCAGAAATGCAGCAGCAAAGTGAAGGTAGAATGAAGGCGGTGTAAGAAGGGCTGTGGGAAGTGGTGAGTCTAAAACTTAAATTGACTAATATTGTCAAAGGAACTTTTTTGGGGGGGATCACCTAGTGGGCCCTGAGGGGTCAGAAGAAGCGTATAAGAAAGAAAAGTGGTATAAAGAGCCCCGAGAGAGGAAAACGGGTGAGGGGCTAAAACTGGAGCGCCAAGTGACACCATCCCTATATGTAACATAAAAGGAATGAGAATATTTACAGCGGAAAATAACCCCAATCTAATCTATCCTGTATTACGGGGCAGTGTGGTGGACAGCTTTGTACGTCAGTGTTAGGATTTTGAATTTGATCCGATTGCGCAACGGATCAAATTCAAAATCCTAACACTGACGTACAAAGCTGTCCACCATACTGCCCCGAACTACATCACTGACCTAATATCCAAGTACCACCCAGCACGCACACTCCGCTCCTCAGAAGACCTCCTTCTCTCTAGTTCCCTGGTCTCCTCCTCCCATGCCCACCTCCAGGACTTCTCCAGGGTGTCACCCATCCTCTGGAACTCCCTGCCCCAACCCATCAGATTATCACCTACTCTCTTCTCCTTTAGGCGCACCCTGAAAACCCATCTCTTCAGGGAAGCCTACCCCACCCCCTGCTAACCTGCCGACCTCCTCCACTCTTCCTACCACTCCATCCCCCACAGCTATCTCCTCCTGTGCCACCATCCCCTCCCTCCTAGATTGTAAGCTCGAAAGAGCAGGGCCCTCGATCCCCTCAAGTTTTGCATTGTATTGGTATTGTTCTGTCACATGTTCTGTCCCCCTTTGTAATGTACAGCGCTGAGCGAACTATTGGTGCTTTATAAATACTGTATAATAATAATAATAATAATATCCTGGGGAAGTAATCTTTTGCCCTTCAACTTAAAAAGATAGAGATATTATATGACCACTATGAATCTGTGGAAGGGGGAGGATCTGAAACATCCCAAATAAGTACAAGTACAATTAAAAAATATATAGCCCCACAAGAGAA